TCAGTTCACGTTCGCCCAAAATATGAACGAGTTCATGAACTTTCGTTCAATGAAGGCATTCAGGCACAACACTGGAGATGAGCATCTGTTTTCTGGAAGCTTGAAGATCTTGAGTTATATGGTGTAGTAGGCTCTTTCAAGACAAATTGGGCTCAGGTGAAAGAGTAATTTAAAGATCATGATGTACGTGGACTATAGCATTATCGGAAATTACTTAGATTCAGGGGATTAGGATATTTGACTTGAAGGACGAGCATAATGGCTTTTAAACCTTCCAGGAAGTCAGAGGAGGCCCCAGGTCATGGATTCAGCTTGAACTCTTCCTATTTGCAGCATCATAATCTGACTATGTGAAACGTTGTCTCACTGGCATATGAGTGCCAAACTAGTAATTCTGAGGCAAGAAGTTAATGAATAGGGTTTGTTAACCCACAACTAATAATATAGGCTCTGGATTTCAGCTCCAAGAGGGTACTAACTCTTAATCATCAGTTTTGCATGAGGAAAGCTTATGAATGGTACTGTAAGTATCTCAGTGTCGAAATTCTCCTGTGTGGGTAGGATGGAATATTTGTGCCTTAGAGTTGAAAGAGGGTAAGGATTTGACTGCTGCCTATATATTGACAAGCATCTATGCTGCTGAACTTTCTTGTGAACTTAGGATGGTGTCTCTTTGATGAGTAAGACTCCTTCTGGAATTCCATTTGATGTGAGCAGTGAGAAAGTGGCTTAGAGGGTTGTGTATAGATGGCCATGGAGAGCAGTGTTTTATTTACCTTCTTTGCTAAACATGATATATCTATGTCAAGGTTAATAGTTAACTCTTGTGTAGACATAATTATGCACCAGACTGAGTTAGCGTTAAACAGTTTGTTTTCTTTTTGACACGGGTAGACATCACCTTGGAAGGAGGAGACTTAAAGTCAGCTGAAAGTGAGAGTAGGTGAGTAGCTTAGAATGGCTCTTACTTTCCTTTTTGATCCTGGGAGCTTTGGAAGGGGGACAGGGAGGTGAGCAGGGAGGACTCCAGAATGCAGCAAGGAGGAAAGAATCAGAGGCGACCAACACTAGCACATAAATCAATCCATTGGCGTCTGTCCTAGGTAAAGTGCTTGTTGGGTTTTTAATCCAGATAAATGTGAGTTTAAAAGATTAAAAGGAAAATGAT